TCTTCTCACACGATCTGATTGACGATTTGTTGGAGCTTCAGAACTCTCTGGTTCTTGTTCATCATGTGCTGGTTCTGCTTCAGAAGAATCTTCTTTTTCAAACTCTTTTTCCACATGTATCTGAGTAGTCTCTGACTTTTCAACGCTATCATCATCTTCTTTTCTTTGTAGTTTATCTTCTACAAAGACAACATCTCTGCTGATGATCACTTTCCGGGCAGTGGGATCCCACAAGCGATACCCTTTTACCCTATCAGCATACCCCAAGAATTTGCATTTCTTGGATTTTGGATCCAACTTTGAAATTTTTTGGGAGTTGTGCATCACGTACATAATACTTCCAAATACATGGAGGTTTGAATAATCAGCTGGTTTACCAGTCCACATCTCCATTGGTGTCTTCAGCTCTATTACAGTTGATGGAGCTCGATTCACCAAATAACAGGTAGTATTGACTGCTTCTGCCTAGAATGATTTTTCTAGGCATGCATCCCTCAACATTGCTCTTGTTCTTTCTAACAAGGTTTTATTCATCCGCTCTGCCACTCCATTTTGTTGAGGAGTGTTCGCCAATGTGAACTGTCTTTTGATGCCTTCTTTCCAGTAAAAGTCATCAAATTCTTCGCTTGTGTATTCTCCTCCATCATCTGTTCTAAAACACTTGATCTTATTTCCAGAATCAAATTCCACCAGCGCCTTGAAGTTTTTGAAAGTTGAAAACACATCTGACTTCTTCTTAATAGGGTACACCCAACATCTCCTGGAGTAGTCATCAATAAATGAGACAAAGTATTTTGCTCCGCCTAGGGATGTAACTGGTGCTTGCCATACGTCAGAGTGAACCAATTCTATAACACTTTTGCCTCTAGAATTTGATGTGTTGAATTTCAACTGGTGTTGCTTACTTGTTATGCAATGCTCACGCAAAGTAAGTGATACATTCGTTAAGCCTGGAAGTAGCTTTTGCTCCACAAGGACTTTCATTCCTTGTTCTGACATGTGTCCAAGTTTCTGATGCCATAACATTGCAGAATCTGAACTACATGAGGCAACAGAGGCTTCTGCTTCTAGCAAAGTCTCTCCATTCAGCATGTACAAGTTTGCTGCTATCTTTTCGCCTTTCAACACCACAAGCGCTCCACGGATCACCTTCATAATTTCTTTCCGTGTTTCAATCTTGCTTGCATTATTATCCAACAATCCATAGGATAATAAATTTTTCTTCAGGCCTTTCACGTGCCGCACATCTCGAACAACTTTGATTGTTCCATCATACATCTTCAATTTGATGGTTCCCACGCAAATGATCTCTAAGGCATGATCATTGCAACTATAAACAGATTCTCCTGAGACAGGTTCATAATGATGAAACCATTCTCTTCTTGAGGTCATGTGATATGTTGCTCCCGAATCAATGAGCCATATATCTGCATATCTTTTTCTACCTTCCACGGTGGTTGATGTTTCACAGCATAGAGCATCTCCATCATCTGAAGTGTTTGCGGTATTGCCTTGTGGATTGGAGTTTTTATTTAGACTCCAACAATCATTCTTCAAGTGGCCCTTCTTTCCACAGTTGTAGCACTTTAAATTCTTCTTGCTTCTCGACTTCGATCTACCATGTTTATGACTGCTACTTTGGTCACGTTCTGTTGATCTCCCTCTCGTCGTTGTCAACGCTTCTGCTTGTTGCAGATTTACTTGTCTGTCTTCCTTGTTCTTGCGCCGATTTTCTTCTTGTAGAACAGCAGCTGCAACGTCATCGAAGACTAGACTGATGACATTACTGTTTGTCAAATTGATGATAAGTTGATCATACGAATCTGGTAGACTTTGAAGTAGAAGTTCAACACGTTCTTGTTCTCCTATTGTACATCTTAAAGATGTAAGCTGAGAAAATAAAGTGTTCAGTGTGTTTAAGTGCTCCGTCACTGAAGTAGATTCTGGCATACGGAGAGTGTACAATTTCCTCTTAAGGAAAATTTTATTGTACAACGATGTGGCCTCGTACAGTTTGGTGAGATGATCTCATATCTCCTTAGTTGTCTTCTTCTCCTCGATGCTTGACAATACTTCATCTGCTAATGTTAGATGAAAGTTTGTCATAACATTCTCGTCCGTTTCGATCCATTTGTTGTCATCTGTGAAATTCACTGGCCTTTCACTGATAGCTGCTAGACAACAATCTTTCCTCAGGATAGCCTTCATCTTCAATTTCTACAATGAGAAATTTCTCTCATTGAATTTTTCAATATAAAATTTCGTTGCCATAGCTTCTTTTACGGATAGCTCCCACTATTTCACTATCTTGAATAGTTCTCTAGAACCTTCAAAGAATGGATAATACCTTCTTACTTTCTTATGTTGGAAGATCAATCTTTTGGTGGCAACCACAAAGACAATAAGCAGATATTACACACTCTAATCTGGCTCTGATAACAATTGTTGCGGAAGACGACTATCGGATAGAGCAAAATCGCAACTGATAATTTGAGAAAATAAAAATAAAAATAAAGAAGACATAATTTTTACATGAAAACCCCCTAAATAATATATGATAAAAACTACGGGCAACGGTAGAAGAATTTCACTATGAGAAAATAGGAAATACAACTTCTCTCGATCTACTAAGGAGAAAACAATGATAATTCTCTTTTGATAAAAAGGAGAAAATAACTCTCAAGAAACTCTCTAAATTCTCTCTAGTATTGTAAGAAAGCTAGAATGCTTTGAGATGGTTTTGAAGTTAAATGAGCTAGGATATTTATAGTTGAAGCTTAAGGACTAATTTGTAAATACTCTAAATTATAATGACTAAAATGAGATTTTACCATTATTGAAAAAATCAACAATTTCCAGTTTTTTTTCGGTGCATTAATTTTGCACCTTTCGGTGCTGACTTTTAGCAACATCTACATTGAGTGAAGACTACACGAATATCCCAGTGTTGCAGATCAGATAAATACACTGAAAGAGAAAGAGCAAACAGATGTTCCACAGTCCGCACATGAAGTAGATTTATACCTTTGTCAGGTATAAATGAGCAAAATAGGCCCCATGCACTCTTTTAGCAATTCTAACAAGCTTTACCTGCAGTAGAACGAAAATTTTATCAGAATTCACAATCCAGATGTCAAAATGGTAAGTAGAAACAAAATGAAAATAAATTTTGTTGAAATATTGGGACAAGAAAAGTAATCATACCGAGTAGCCCATCATTTCAACCATGTCCTTAATAACATGATAAAGCGTAGGTCTAACCTAGAAATAATGGCAAGTGACAACCCCAAATGCAATATATCCCATACGACAGGAAAATAAAAATCCGGACTCAATGAGGAAGATAAAAAGATGACATACAGTTCGGACATTGCACAATGCTGCTTTGCGCTAGACACTTGGCGTCTTCACTGAATTTAAAACCACAGATCATCAAATTTATTATGACTGGGAATGGTAATAAATAAATACAAAAGATTGGGATAATGTTCACACACAAACGATGATTGGTAGAAGAAGCCCAGTCCCATCTTCCATCTTCAGAACAATGGCATGATGGGGTGCATATAATTGGGCAGATGCCCACTTTGAGGATTGTTATGAATACATTTTAAGTGACTACCATCCCTCATTTTAATAATAATTCCATCAGGTCCACACTTCACCTCATCTACATGAAACGATTATGAAATATATCAGTCAACAATTACATAGGAAACACGTTATTTTTCAATTTAAAGGAGACAACAGAAGCAGCAACAAGAACCAAACAATAAGTAATCATTGGCTTAATCAGCGCACACATACCAGCTTCGACCACACAGGAATTAACATAATTTTCATCGTTTTCGTCTAAACTCTCACCCATGTTCCCATTCCCATCTGAAGATGGACTGAAACTGCAATGCACCGTGGTCTTGCAATTTCGAAATATCAGTTTACATGACTTACTCTTTCCATCAATCTCTCTTCTGTATCCCCATATAAGCAACCTTGCCCATGGTAAAGGCCTATTTATCATAAGCGAATCAACCCCAACTTGTTTGTTCTGAAAGGCGGGGCAAATCACCGGTCCTTGCAACGAAACCATATTTCCCCGATCACCACCTATACCACAACAAAAAATAAATGTCAGGTGTCAATTATTTATAAATTTTCGTTTCCTGATGAGAACGCATCTTAAATGAATTTTACACTTCGTTTTCGTTTTTCGGTTAGACCTCAGATTTTAAAAACTAAATTGATAAAGAAAATATTGCACCAGGATGCTCTGACGATTAAAAAACTAGTCATTATAGAATCAAAGCATGGATTAAAGTGAAATCAGTACCTGAAAAAACTAATTTTGAGAATGTAATATTTTGAAATATGATTCTTGAGAAAGTTATTTAGTATATTTCAATATATTGATTCAAATTATGAGAAAATTGTGTTGATATGTATGATTCATTAAATATTTATATAGGAACCAGAGAATTTCCTTTCTGTAAAAAACAATTATATGGGAATGTGAGATAATTTTTAAAATTAATCGCATTAAATAAAATATTATACTTCTATATTTTAATATTTGTTATTACTAAATATTATTATTAAATATTTTGAAAGGTAATATATATCTATATTTCTTTATAAATAACCATGCATATACAAATCATGTATTTGTAAAGGTAACCATTGTAAATGTGATCTGACTATGAAAATATAATTTAATGGGCATGCAACAATTTGCGTTCCTACGACTATAATGTCAACATGCTTTGAACCTCGGCAATTATTAGCAGAACAAACATTGGATTTATAAAATAAGTAAAGAATATGCTGCCTAAAAATAAATAGTTAATAAGAAACTTATTTCCTTAACATGAATAGATAAAATAATCTAAATCAGAGAGAATTTTGTCTTAAAGTTTCAAATTACATGGGAAATTATTATTTATCATGAGAATCACATTTTCAAATCAAGAGTTAATGTTGGTAATGGATCAAGTTTGGTCCGTCTTGTAAGCTTTTGTAATTTAAACAAGATGACCAAATTTGTTCCATGGAAACCAAGGCTAGCACTTATTATTCTCCTAGCCCACTTAAGGGCTAATAAGATGATCAGTGTTTTTTTTTTCATAATATATATGTCCCAAGACTTTTAATATCTCTTCTCGCTTCCAATTCCAAACTAACCAGAGGCAGTCGTTCTCCAGTTCAGACGGTGAAGTCATGCGGCTGCAGCGGCCAAATACAGCCACCACTGTCGTTAGTCACGTAAGACATGCATGACAATGGCACTAGACATAGACCTCGAGTTTTGAGATCAGGCTGTCCTTCTTCTTCTTCTTCATCTTCATCCTCCATCGTTGAACCCTGAAGATGATTGAAACAATTTACTTGAAAAAGTTTATATTTTTCCGTTGGCAATTGTAGATAGGTTTCGCTTACCCCTTGTTTGGACCTGGATGTTTTATTACGAGATGACTTCACATACGGAACGCTTAATGTCTGCCAAAAGCAAATATATTCATCATTCAGTGACAGATACAGATCTGAAAGTAAGGGTTGAGGTCTACAGATTGTTCAGTGGAAAATAACCCTATCAGCTAGTTTGCCCGAATATTTTAGGGTTAATTTCTAGCAGTACCCCTCAAGTGGCCGTTTCCGATGGATCACATATTGAGGTGGAAATAATATTTTAAGAATGTGTCAAGATAATAGTAAAAACATAATAATGAAGAAAATCGTAAAATTCGAGGAGAATGTATTGGGAAGGCGATACTGATGGTACCTCAACTTGATTTTGAAGGAATTTGATGTATCCAATAGCCTCCATTAGTACGGACGCTGTATCTGTCTGTGGCATTCTCCCCACCACCGTCGCATGCAAAAATAACCTCGTCATTTTCCACTAACCAATAACCATATCGAAAACCTTAAACTAGTACTATTACTAATAAATAGAACTCTCTTCTGTTTTCTTTCCCTTTTATCAGTATATGCAGCTACTGGTAGTGGTTTATGATTGTGTTTCTTTCCTCTTTTACCTTGCCAAAGGGAGCAACCAATTGTTGTAGAGCTGCAATTCTGTCCCTAAGTTTCTCTTTACTAACCTGTTGATGCAAAATCAAACATAATGCTTCAGGTCGGAAAACATGCAAATTAACAATCAATAATGTCAAAGTTTAAGTTGTTGGTCACCTTAAATGGAGGGCAGGAGGCGCGTGACTCCAAACGAATTTTCTTCACTGCTGTTGCTGCAGTTGCCTTTGCTTCCGATAAAATGCCGGGTCTCTTTGCCTCTGTTATTTCTGTGGGGAAGGGTGACATCTTTCATGGAGTGCAAAGAGTAAAGATCAGTTGAATGATAATCCAAAAAGAAAAAAATAAATAAAGGCATAAAGCTCTGGTAAAGATATAAGCATACATCGACTAAAGCTGAAGGGTGTCCCCTATATATTTGCTTTATTAGGCATGGTTTTGAACAAGATAGTATTCTTAGTTCTTACTTATGAATAAAGGTTTCAACTTTTCAAATCTTTTTCCTAAGGATCATTTAAGAAAGTGCTTCATCAATTAATCACATTCTACTTATTATTCTTGTTAACTAATTCTGTATTAGATTGTATAATAGGGATGTTATGATTTGCTAAACACTTGTAAATACTGAACAGCTAGCTAGTTGATCTTATAATGGTTTCGCCCAATCTTCTCTCAGCAGAACTCCATGATTTATGTTCAATGCATGAAGTAAAAAAAAAAAAATTAAAAAAATAACATGCAGTGTAGTGTTAGAATTACAATAATGTTTTGTACTTGAGGCATGGTTTGTAGTAGAAATGAATGCTGGTACAAGAAAGAATAGAGAACACTTACTTGACTAGGGGAATAAGCTTCTGGCATTTGATTTGACTGCTGCAAATTATGGTGGTGATGGAGACCAAAAGAAGGGCTGATCTCTTTGTGTATACCAAGACTGTCATGATGATCTTCCGAAGGGTAGCTAAATCTACTGCTTCTTCTAAATCTCGGAGGATTTAAGGGATCCAAGGCCTCCATATTCATGTCAAAGGAGCTTGGTATATTCCGGGGAGAAGAAACTTGGTTCAAACTTGAAACATTTATACTAGGATAAATCTGGCTGAAACTCCCACTACTTGGTGAAAAACTATTCCTAGGGATAGAACAATTCTGGGTACTCGAGTAAAATTCTGGTTGTGCAGAAGACATTGGGAAACCAGAAGATATTGTCTTGAACAACTGTTTCTCGCTGAGATCATTCAAATCCATTTGCTCGTTATTCTTCAAGTAGTTTGCTTGAGGCAGCTGACGAGAATCTCCGACGCTTGAGGAGCTGTTAGCCCAGTCTCGGATCATGGAACTGTTTTGAGGAGATGCTAAAATGTCATTTTTCGGCCTTGAGTGCAACATATCCTCATTATAATTTGGATTGAACTCACTCAAGTTGCTGGGAAAAAAGAGAGGGTAGGGAGGCAAATTAGCAAAAAAGAAGAATATATGAAATACTGTACTTGGTGAACCCAAAAGTTCTAGGAATCCGAAAACAATGCAAGAAAAAGAAAATATTCTCTTGAGCCGCTAAATAAGAAAATTTAGAACTACATTATTGTGATTGATGCACATCAAATCGGAAGGGAGTTAAAGTAAAGTTCATAATGGCCTGTGAAGTATGAAGATACAAATATATTTGTAGAAAGCTTCATAAGAGAAAGGGTAACTTACAAAGCAATACTTGGGGCTGTTGGGGTCCAAGCATGGGAGCTTGAAACTCCATAACAGGGAGAGATATGTAAAGAAGAAGATGGCCTAGCAAGCTGGTCTTGAAGCTGGTGGTGTTGGTGATGGGGATTTTCCGACTCCATAATGATAAATTTAAAAGGAATAAAAAAGGAGGCTTGAAAATCCCAAGATTTAGTAATTAAAATTTCACTACACTGCTAGTTTCAAGGAATCTCTCACTCTAATCAAAAAACAGTTCAGGTGACACCCACATATACACCTCCTTATACTTTTACCTAAGCAACTTTTCCCAGTTTTTTTTTTCTTTTCCTCTTTCAGGTTTCCATCTTAAAAGCAGTCTTTTAAAGAAAGAAAGAGAGAGGAGCTTCAACAATCCCTTCTCCCTCGCCCCTTTAATAATTTATTTCATCCACACTTTTTTGCAGCTATCCCTCCATACACGATTTTGCATTAAAAAAATACTCACTCGCTTTGTTTTATTTAAAAAAGAAAAGAAAAGTTCGCTGCAATTACAGATAAATGATTAATACTTCCTCAAGGCCATGATTAAGATCCCTGCCTTCAATCCCAAGACTTTCAACAAAGGTCTGAGAAGAGAAATGATAACAACCATATATAATCACCTTTTATATTGCTTATATATATATAATCACCGATGTAGTTAACAAATATTATAATTTGTTACCACAAACATTCTCCTGTGGCATATACAACATATGTCGGCTATGATAAATAACATACATCCCATTTCTCTCTCTCTTTTTTTAAAGAATTTTAGACATGAAGTTATGCTTTGAACTTCGGCCTGCCCAATGCAGGTGGGATTGCACCTTTTTACACTGCCACTAATGGTTGAAGGAGGTGTTGTTTCAGATAGATATGTCCTTTGTGATGCAGATATGATCAGAACAAACCGTATATGATATAGAAATAGCTATGACAGTCGCTGGGAATTTCCCCATCCCACAAACCGTATATGTATACATGGCTTGCTGATTAAAAGATACCAGAGTCTTAAAATCCTTTCCATTTCATTATGTATTATATTGATTGAACAAAAATACGAAGATCTTTCCCTTCCTTTGTCATGCACTCTCTTCCCCCACTATCGTTTACAGTTTTCATTTTCTTCCCTATTTTATTTCTGTTGTATGCTTATTATTTGTTTATATTTGAACTAAATTAACAATCTTTAAGTTCTAATTGGCTAATTGCGTATGAATCATAAACTCGGTTCATTTTTCTTATATATTTTAGTTTCCTTTTCTTTAAAATTATTCACACCAAAAGTTATTTACTTATATAAATATGATGAAATTTCTTTGGAAAAATATTTTGGGTTTGTATTTGATGTAGCGGTTTATAATTTTATATATAATCAATAAATAAGATTATAGTAAATTATTAAAAAATAATTTTAAAACCTTATTATGATATATCATTATTTAATTTATTGATGATAAATAAAATTTATATAATTCCTATATTGAATATTAAATCAAATATGTTTATAATGTTTTTTTATTATAGTTTTTTAAGGGGAAAGAATAGGAAAATGAACGTAAATGGAATAGGTTTCTCGTGGTGTGTTATCATGATGATCATATATTAACCCATAAAGAAGCATTAATTTATTATTATTCCATGCTCCAACCAATGCCGCAAACTAAAGCTTACCGATGTATTATGATTTTAATTTCTTTGTCTCGTTTATTGTTAGAACTCATAGAAAACTGTTCATTTGAACTTTAATATTGGAAAGAATTTGAAGAAAAATATTATGCTAAAAACTAAATTTTAATAAAAAAAATTGATCTTATTTAAAATATGGGTAACATTTGGATGGTAACATTTAAGGCATGAGTTTAATGTTGTCTTTCTTTTAGTTTAATCATCAATATTCAATTTATTGATTGACTATTTCGGATCGAATTTTACAAAGATTCATTAGGAGAGTGATTCTTCCAAATTAATTTATTCCATTCCAAATGTCAGGATTTGAACTACTGACATTGCTTAAAAGACCTAATACATCATCCTATAAGACCAATCGATTCTTAATTTAATGTTGTTCCTTTTTAACATTGTAATATATTATTTTATTTTATATATGATATAATTTATATTATATCATAACTAAATTTATGATAAAATATAATATTATAATATAAACATAAAATATGTTAAGTTATGTATGTTTAATTTTTTAATAAGTAGAGTGATTACAAGATAATATCAGTTCAAAATCCTTTTTAGTCATTGACAACCTTGTAGACGTAATTATTCAAATCTGAATCTTCAAAGGAGAACAATACTCCCCTTTTACCACTTCAATCATTTAATAAGTTTATTTATGTTTAAATTTTTAACGAAAGAAAGAATATAAAAATTTATTAGTCCTTTGAAAATTTACAAATATGTGAGTGTAGATCCACGGGTTCTAAACATAATTTGGTCCAACCTATGATCAAATTCCTCTCACCTTCTCAAATTTTCTGTTCAATGCCTCCTTTCACTCTCCTCATGCAATTATACATGTATTAATTAAAGTGATAAAAATAAATCTTTTACTTAATATGTATAATTCATAAAGTGTTTATATAAAATTGATTAAAGCGTGAGCAAGCACATTTGATCGGTTGGTCAAATTGTTCATCTTCGTTCTCTCATATTTTCTTAGGTTATGGATTCTAAACCTACTAAGAATATTCTTCTTTCTTCGTCTAGAATTTTCATTCCCTTCTCCTCTAGATAAGATTAAATTCAAATTTAGAATTAGGCAAGATCTTATTTATTAAATTATTATGATTTGAATTAGATGAATGAGTCCCCACAACGAGTGTATAAAAGTTGATGGGCATGACCCCATCTTCCACTTTGTTGTTTATCTCTCCACTTTTCTTCCTTATTGAAAGAGGGCAAAGTGTGTGTGGTTTTCTTTTCCATATTCCCAAGTTCATTACCTTCCAAGATGCATTTCAAAAGCTGCTTCTACATCACATTTCACTTGTAATAGTTTATATACACTGTTTATGTGATTGAACATAAAATATGAGCTACCACCATTTCCAAACTCTGGTCAATATTCAAAAGCATTATTTGTAGTTAGATTTCACTCACTCATGTAATTAATTAATAATTCATGTAGTTTTGTTATCATCTCTTTATATGTAAAAATAGGGTTCGTTTGTTTCACTGAAAATATTTTCCATAAAATATTTTATGTAAAATGAATTATATCTTCTGGAAAATATTTTTTAGAAAACGTTTTACGATGTATGTTTAAAATCCTTTTTCCACTAGTTGATGATTTTTTTAAATTATTTATTACAAATATTAAATAAAATAAATAATATTATTTATCATAAACTTAATATTATTATTTTTAAATATTAAATAATTTATTTATTATTAAAATATTATTTTTATAATTTTATTAATAAAAATATTAATATTGGTATATTTTATTGAAATAAAAATATTATAAATTATATTAATTATTTATTAAAGTAATAGTGTTATATTATATTTTAAAAATATTAATTATTATATTTTAAATATTTATTAAAATATTAAATATTATTATATTAATATTAAATATTTAAATATATTCATTATTAATAATTTAATAATATTATTTCTATGAAATTAATAAATGATATAAATTTTATTAATAATTTATTATATATATATATATTATAATATAATTGATTAATTTATATTAATATTAAAATATATATTATATTATTATAAATATTAATAAATATATTTAAATATTTTAATAATTAATATTTTGATTAAAATGATATTAAAATATTTTATTAATATTAAATTCATAAAATAAATTATTTTGAGTATATATTCTTTGAAGTGAAAAGTTCAGAAAATGACTTATGGAAAATCAGACTGTAAGTCATTTTCCAAAAAACACAAAGGAAATTCTGTTGACCAGGAAAATATTTTACGCTGACCAACTAGTTTTTCTACAACCAAACACTAGAAAATGAGAAAAATATTTTCCAAAAAAAATTACGTTAAACAAACGAACCCCAGGTTGTTAGTAGTTTGGAAATCAATTTTGGGATGTGATTAATCGATTTTTTAGGGGTCGATCATACTTTCTTACTTTCTTATTTTTAAAGACTAAGTTGCCATTTTTGAGACTAGGCAGTAAGGGTCAAACATCCACTCCCTCTATTATATCGTATAATTTATCCAAACTTTTACATAATATTGGATTAGGTTATTCTAACTTTTCTTTTAATTCATGGAAAATATTAATTCATGATAGTGACTATATATATATATTATTAAGAAGAGATATATTACATTTCAAGTCAAATATCAAGATTTAAATATATACAAATTAGTAAGACAATATAAATTATTTGACCACCCAACCATGATCTAAATGAATAAGTATTTTTAAATATAATTATTGTTTTCTCTTTCTTTAATTTTTTAATTGTATATTTAGGAGAATAGTGCAACCAACCTTTGTCCCCAAACATTTATTACCCATTATTTTCTTCTATATTGTTTCACATTTTTCTCTTCTTATTTCTCTCATTTTTATTTTACACATTATAATTTTATTATACTTTTTTTCTTCTCACATTTATTTAGTTATCTCGTTGATCTATTTTAAACTATTAAATTAATTTTCTTAATAAGTGCTCACAAAAATCTTATTTATGCTATGCTTGAATTGTGATAAAGTCAATTATCAGTGTATCGTCATTGTTATATTCTTATGTTAGTGTTGATGATTCTTATCATTCATTACTGACATTGAAGAATGTATTTTTTTATATATATGAATATCGTATATAGTTATAGAAAGCTATATTTAAATTGGAATTAATTAGTATCATAACATTATAAATATTTATAATTAAATGTAAACAAAATCTCAAACAGTTAGACTCAATTTTAATAAACTTGACTTGAAAAAATTAAATAAAGTTTAAGCAATAAAATAGGAGTCGTCAACTCGAGTAACTCGATTGTTCTCAAATTTTATAAAAAGAATGCCAAGATTGTTCTCAATTTATTATCTTAATTTTCCCCTAAGCTCTATTATATTAGTTACGTATATCAAATTATCAATTGTCCTAATTCGGAAGAATTACCATTAGCACTGTTGATATATATCTAATGGAAAACATCCAACATCTTCCCACCCCATAAGGGTCTGCCTTTTCTTGACATATAATCTAACATCATACTAAATGATTCACTATTATTATTATAATTTTAAAAGTTTGTGTTTTCTTAAAGTATAATCTAACATTATGTATGATATATAATGATGAATGATGGATGGGTGATAGATTAATTGA